TTAAATTACTACTGAACTATCTCGTAATAATATAAAATTACTAATGAAATGGCGATTGGAAACACAGTAGATTTCTGTCACATATATTCTGTTTTTTATCAGAGTTGAAAATCACTTCACAAATCTCGTAATACCGTGCTTTACACAGAAAAGTCGTTTTAATTAAAAATCTAAGTTCCAATTCGTGGAGAAATTTCCGATATGCAGTCACCTCTGGTATACTTGTGTCGCGTGACCTAGAAAATGTCACGCAGCCAAATATCAGGAGGAAAATTATACATTTCACTTCGTTAAAATATCAATTCACGATATCGGACCTACTGGTAAATAAGTAACAAGCAGTTGCAAGGATTTTTCATCAAGGAAATGGCCTGGCCATTCTATGTAACGGTCAGCAGCTAATCAAAGGGCCTCTAAGGCCACGGTTCTTGGGTGATGGTAAGAGGGAATGAGTAATTGATTAGGCTGTTCCATGGTTCGTCTGACCTCATGCCTGACATTTAAAACGCGGTTTTTTAGGCAACCGTGCCGGGCAATCTTGATTCTTATTTTTCATCGGAAAGAAAAATGAGGATAGGTAATGTTGGAACGATGAAAATGATGCTGAGAATTTATTACAGTGTTCCTGAAATTCTGATGAATCTTTATTGTGAGAAATTTATTTTGAAATAAACCCCGAAATATTTCAAAAGTGCATTTTGAAAGTATATATTGATACTGGCAAGTACCGGAAATGTTAAAATTAATAAAATGTACTTTTCTTTCATCTGATTGTTTTGATTCTATTTGAGTTTTTAAAATTTAAAATTATAACAGTATTTAATCTTAAAAAATATTCAATTAATAAAAATATCATTTATAAAATTTTAAATAATCATATTATTATGTAATATTAAGGATTTAAAAAAAAAAAATTGAAGACAATCAATGAAAATCAAAAGAAAACTCATCAAATTAAATATTACCAGAAAAACATAAGTACTGAATAATTAAATTAAATTTAAGAACAGACAACATGATCATTCCAAATGCATGATTCAGACTTCAAACATTTAAAACCGGACAGCTCATAGACACGTATTCTTTCTGAGAATTTGTTCACTTCATAGTAAAATATGATTTCAATGAAAAAATTAATATGTATTTATTTCCAAAGTTCTAAGTGATATGTAACTGTATTTCCTATTGCAGCTATCCTGTTATATTGTAACTTTTGAAAAGGAACAATTAAATATATAATCTTCCACAAGCATAAACAGGGTTGTAAGAAAAAATTCTCATTAATGACCTGCTACAGAGTTAACAATTTATTACATAATAGCGAGATAAATATCTAAAAAGATACAATTTTTATCGTGTCATTTAATTTTGTATAATGTACATCGAAATGTTTGAGCAATCGTGTATAATACAATAGTAAACGATTAATAAATTTCAACGCTTGGTTCGAACTTTGTGCTATATAATTCCAGTCTGAGAAATTGAATATTTCTGTAGTGTTTCTAACATATTCGTCTTATTTATTAAAAATCAAACATTTTAAATAATAAAATAAAATTCAACAATCATTGATGTTACCAAAAATATTATATACCACTTTCGATAATATAAATATGGAATTATAATAATTATAATTAGTTATAATAATTAAATAAAGATGATTTAATTGATCATTGACGAATACAGACTGGTATCGAAATTGTACAATTTTACGAACCACTTGAACGCGTATTTCATGAATAAACAATAAATAAGTTGCATAAAGTAATGGCTGATACATTATGTTCATATTGTGTCTAAGCGTGCAACATGCATTAAAGTTTCATTTGTAACATTTGTAGGAATACATGTACAAGGTTTTTAATTAAAAACGCAGCCCATTCCGTTTAATTATTCGCATCTGTACAGATTCGAACTTCCAATTATTAAAACTTGAAAATACGAATGATAACATTTTTCGTAAAATTCATTACTTCTATTATTCTAGAGAGAAATGTATGGGATATTAATTAATTTTTACATTAAACATTTTAAATATATATTTAAAATATGTGAAAAATAATATAATATAATTCGTAAGACGGAAATTTTTTTGGTAAGAGAAATAAAATTTGAAAAGACCAAGAAATGATAAAAATTTGCTACGTTTTTGATCAAGTCCCTTTTACATACTTACAATATTCCTTTTTATTTTCTTTTTTAATCTTTTTTTTTCTCTCTCTCTTGCACAGTTACGATTAGACGATTAGAGTTGATTTCAAATCAGTGAACTTTTTTTTTTTAGAAATATCACAAGTAAAAAGGTGAGAAATAGATCGTCGAAAATGTGATATGTAGATTATATAGAAAAGCAGATGCTCTGAAATCTGCGTTCAATTACATCGAAATAAAACGATATATGTATATTTATTTAATGCTAATTGACCAAAGTATTTTTGGCACGTTTCGAATGTGTTCCAGACCATTTTTCTCTTCACTTATCTTCTACATCTATTCTAAAAACCAATTTTAACAAGTATTGGACTATCGATCAAACAATCAAAGTCACGCTTTTTCAAAAATAACCCTGAATTCATTATCATTACAATGAACATGTAGTAATTATTTTTCGCAATATCGGAAAATAATAAGAAAATTCGAATATTCATAAATCAAATTTTATCGTAAAATATATTTAATAGTTTTTAAGAATAGCGCAAAAACATGAAAAAACTCACTTATCTTTCCAAAATAGAATTATTAATTTAAAAGACACACAATTGCGACAAAATTAATGTTCATGATCATTGAAATCACGAACGATGTTACATGTGCAAAATTTATGATTGACGCAATACACCATTGTGATCTGCGAGGAGGATTTTTAAATCCCATTTTTATTACCACTATAATAATAAAAAAATAATACGTGACTGTGATTGATATCACTACCGACTATGTATGCATCGATATAGTTCCGATATAGACCAGATCTAATTGCTTAGATATAAAGGCTAGAGGTCAATCTAGAAGTTGATTTATATTTTCAGTTAATACTCTGCTTGCAGAGTAATTGAAAGTAGATACACGATTGATTAACTGAAATATAAATGAACTCTGATAAACGTGCGAGTCACTGAGTATCATAAATATTCTTTTCTTTCTGAATCATTAGTATTGACTTAGAGGAGTTTCTCATAAAAAGTGATTACATTTCATAGGTAATCGACTTGCTTTAGTTAAGTTCGAAGGGAATAGCTTTTTATGTGAAAAACTAACAACATTACAATCATGAAACTCAGTTACTCCATTCAAGAAAATGCCACGCGAATGCTCACAAATTTGTCTGTTTTGTAAAACATGGAGCAGGAGAAGAATAAAAAGAAAACAAAATAAAGATATAATAAGTATCAAGTTGACATGTATTAATCGCATGAACTTATAAATGCAGACTAAAATTTGTAATTAACTTCCACAAATTTAAAATTATGAAAAAGGTTAAAACATTTTCTTGAAATGCACGTAATTGACCAATCAAGATGTATGAAAGTGTGCTGTTTTACTTATACATTACTAAATAACAGACTTTTTGACTTACATACATTATAGTAAAGAGTAATTCCAACATAGTTCACATAGCTCATTGAATGCACGTCTGTGTCTTAAGGCAATTTCATTTTTCATACCCTAATATGTGCAACTCCTGGCTTTGCACATTTCTTCCTTTTTCCTTTGTGTCATAAAATATGCTTGCCACTTTTCCTACTCTATGCACATACATATATACAATAAAATTTACATGTTAAAATTTACAAAAACAGAATTTTATAAATCATAACAAGTATTACTTGTGTATACATAAGTCATTTCTTAAAATGCTAAAATTCAGAAAATTTACTTGCTGATTATAAAGAATAAATTTCAGTTGTATATATTTTGAATGTAAGAATAGTTAGACTACTGCTGCAAAAAATAATTCAGCTACATACAGGGTGATTGTAGTAAATACAGTTATATATTATTCACTAAATGAAAAGTATAATTTTGTATAATTAAATACTTATAATACTATTAGATATTTATACTTGTATTTTTTCTTTTTATATGAGGACATGGCCATTTTAATTAACTCATGTAAATTGGTTATACAATAAATACAAAGAATTACAATTTCAATTATTTAAAAAAGATTCAACAAGAATATTGTATAATTTTTTATAAAGATTGTAATAATAAAATGTAATTAAATGTAAAACTGTTTTCAAACATAGGTGTTACATGTCACCCAGTATTATAAATATATATTTATAGTTCTAAGCTTATTGATATAAATAAAATTTATTGGCACTTTTATTTTTGGCACTATAATCAAAATCTATATTGAAAATAAGTTACAAAATATTATTTAAATTTTGATTTTTGTTATTTAAAACTTTTTAATTATTACAATAGCTTTAATTAAAAATTGATAAATTTTACACCTACATAAGAATGAAAATAATATTTTTAAATCTTACTTGTTCCATTGTTTTCCATGGATATACAAGCATATAGATTGGCCCCCAATAACGTACTTATAGAGGAATTTAAATAAATTATTTGTCGATAATACCTGTTGATCCCATGCTATTTATGAACTAAGCAATAAGATCCAAGAATAAATTATTATTATTATAATAAATCAATCATAGGTATTTTCATATAATAAATACATATTAACTATTACAAATATATCAAAACATTCAAAATGATATCAGTGATGTATGATATCAATATACTTTACAACCTAGTTTTTCTCAAATATTTATGATCAGACAAATTTTTATTGAAAGATGTAGTTAGTGATATTAGTGAAAATATTTTATAATTTATATTACAAAAAATTTTATATGTGAAAATTATAATTAAATTACTATTGTATTGTTAAATTATATATCAAATATATAATTTTCTGTATCTTATACAAGTGCCTTGTAATAAATATTACAAATTAAAAACGTGGAAAACTTGAAGATAACTTCATCAATTAATAAAACGAAGACAAAATTTATCTTTTATCTATGAATTTCCTTTTGAATATTTATTTTTAACAAGAATGTTAAATATTATTGAACTTTTTAAAACAACATTAGCTTTGAAACTACATTCTGTTGATACAATTATAATATTAAAAAATTTATGACTTAAAAAAATTGATAAATTAAATTAAATGCAACTTAGGAAATAATTTTAAAAAATAACTAACAGTCTAATCTTATTTTAGTTGTGGATTTTTATTTTGTCCTACTATTTTATTGCGCAATAAATTAAAATGTCCATGCACCTGAGACAATTGTGCTTTAAGAGAATCTGAAAGTTGCTTTTGTAACTGTTGAACCTCTAATATTTCTTGCCGAAGGTTCTGATAATCTTTTGTAACTTGATGAACAGACCTTAATAGACGAAGCACAGAGATCTGTTAAAAGCATAAAAAAGAAGAAAAAATAAAAACAGCAATTTAAATGTTAAATTTAGTAACCACCAGGCAAAGAAATTGTAATTGTAATTTTCTCTAACTAAATCTTCTTTTCTTATCAATTAAACAACTGACATTTAAACGAAATATGTCACTTTTCGACCAACTAATTTTTTAATGAATTAAATCTAATAGATAATTAATGGGAAAAAATGTGTAATTTGTACATTTTGAATAATGTTTTCTTTAAATAAACCATACCTCGCTATCTGGATCTTCAAACTCTTTTTCGAAAGCATCAATTTGCCATGCAATCATGTCCAATTTTCCATCAGCTTTTTGCACCTGCAACATCAAACAATTTATAAAATATTAACTTATTATCCATACATAAATAGATTTATTTAACATTTGACATTTATTGATGAAGTACAATATTTATGAAAAAATTATGAATAACATTTAGAACGAATAAACTAAAAATGATTTAAAACTATGCTTACGCTTTGTTCGAGATGGACAATAGCGGATTCCATGCTTTCTGTTGTTTGTTACAGATTATTTCAAACGGAAAAGATGTAACAAACCGCTCGTACGGAGTCGATGGTTAACTTTCTCGCACTAGAATCGATATGCGCTCACTGGAACATTTGAAAAGCAGTGAATAACGGTTAAAGTTTCTAATTTGAATATTTTATCGCTTGGGGGCAGCACCTGCTGCGTAATTTTCCCATCATTCGCTGCGAAATTGAAACTGTTTTATCGGTTGCCACGTTGAGTCATAGACGAGATATATGGAAAGACCTTACACTTTACGAAATATCGTGGCCGGGGATCTGAAATAGCGATCTTGTCTGTGGTTGAATCATAGACGAGGAACTCGTCCGGGATGAAATAGTAAACATTCGCAAATAAAATCTCTCTACCATTGACGAAAAACAGAACAGATATGCTTTTTTGTATTCCGTGCTTTGGAGAGTCACAATTTTATTACCATGTTTTCGTGTCACGTGATTACATGCGATATTCTATTACATTATCATAATATAAATTCTAATGTTTCTTTTTTCTAAATTCTAATATTCAATATTGAAAAAGACGAATACTTTGTTTATAATAAACTTTTTATAATAAACTTTATTAGTTTTGTATTTTTCATCTGTGATTATAATCTTAGTCTATGCTAAATCGTTGACATTAAAAATAACACTAAAATGATAAAAAAATCTTCAACTCGAAAAGTGTAAGGCAAAAAAAATATATTATTAGCTAATGGTATTGTCTAAATTTCGTTGACTTATCGATAATATATGCATATTTACTTAAGTATTTATATTGTGCTTAATCTGTGACGTCATTACACGTCATTTTTGCCTATCTTTATCTATAGATCAAACTAAGTAATTCTTTTTACGAGCAACGTTATATGTTTATAACGTTTCTCTCTTATAAATGGAATAATATACTATATTTTTTATTGTATTTAAATTTACTTCTCTTTTTCAATAAAATGATTGTTCTCAAAGTTGAGAGGATTATAAAAGAGGATTATGAAATATTACTAGAAAAAGCTTTTAAATTAATTTTACAAATAAAACGATTGAGAATCACTGGGATGTATATATAGAAGGATGTATATATAGGGATGTATATATAGGGATGTATATATAGAATGCCGTCTAGTATAACGTAGCTTCAGATCTTACGTGTCTACGAATGTCGTTGTCTCGGACGATTTAATCAAATTTTGAAACAGATTTCAATATTGTTAAGTATCTAATACGCTACGAAATGGCAAATGAAAATTATTTGAGTGATCCGAACAATCCATTTTTCTCTCTCGAAGACGACATTGACGACGAAACATTTTTAAATAGTGCTCCACCGAGATCTGGTCACACAACTTACAATCAATATAATAATTTTGACAATGTTCTCGAACAAAAGCATCAACAATTATTACAACGAAAGAAAGAAATAGAAGAACGTACGATACAATCGACGAAAAGATCTATTTCGATACTAAGAGACTCTGAACAGATCGGAGCTGCTACTGCAGAGGTAACTAAAATTATTATTATTATTTGACTATTAAATAAATTGCTCTTTTGTTATATCTCGCTGTCTGTTGTTATTTTATGTTATTCCTTATTGTATATGCTTATTTAGAAAATTTTATTTACCTGTTTATTCAGTTTATTATCTATTACTTCAAGCTGTGTTTGACATGCAAGACAATTTTTAATAAAGAAAAATTATTCTACTTAAATTTAATATTTAATTTATCTAAATGCAATTTAATTTCATTAATTTATGAATTTGCATAAAATGTATTGAAATATCATATTTGTTTTGCGCAACATAGATAAAATGTTTATCTATTGTATGTTTGCTTTAATATATTTCATTACATTCATTTAGCTGTATATTAATTGTTTTATTTTAGGAACTCATTAGACAAAGAGAACAATTAGAAAGAACAGAAAAGAGATTAGACGATATTAATAGCACATTAAGATTTAGTCAAAAGCATATCCAAGGAATAAAAAGTGTGTTTGGAAGTCTTAAAAATTATCTCAGTGGTAAATCAATGGATGCACCGATACCATCAACTATATTATCAGAATCTTCTAGCTCTGAATCTATGACATCTCCTGCTCTATCAAATTCTTTAGAACAAGTACAAACTAATATGGCTAATGTGAGCCCAGCACTAAAGTTACATGGCCTGGATAATGATGTAGAAACAAATTCTTTAAGTAATAACGTGAGCAAGGTATTAGAAAAAAATTTAGATGAAATGAGCGGTTCATTAGCTAGATTAAAAGGTTTAGCTATAGGATTATCAGAAGAGATAGATTTACAAAATGACTTGATTGACAACATAACAGATAAAGCAGAAAAGACAGATATTATGCTTCAGAAACAAAACAAAGATCTTACTCATTTATTAAAAAAATAAGTTATATGTACAATACATAAAATAAAACAAAAGTGCTTAGTATATTAAATTCATATATTTCAAATAAATGTGTAATAAATATTGCCTTATTTAGCCATATCTAAAATATTTTATATATGTTATTTATTTTGTAAGATTGCTTTGATGTTTTATAATATACAAGTTACAATAATGTAAAACTTTACGAAAAAAAGACATAAAGGAAATACAATGCACTTCCATACTCATAATTATTATTTCAATATTAGTTTTATCTTTTTATACTTCGCATAATGTAAGAAATATAAATTTAGAATTAAATATATTTTACATCTTTTTTTCCATTGTCAAAAAAAAATTATATTTTTCAAATTAAATTATTTCTAACTTTTCTGTTAAACTTAATAAACTAAGTTTTAATACACTACTTTTTATAAATTTTATGTTAATATTTAAATCACACTATTGTATTATGTTTTGACTTTATATTTTAATCAATGGATTAAGAATGATATAAAATACTGTGATATAAAAAGTCAGCTGTAGTGAATAAGTCATAATATCTTATGACAACTCAGTGAACATTGTTATTAGAAAAACTATATAGTTTCTTAAATTAAATAAGCTTATTGAAGCAATCAATTACACTTGATGTAAAACATATCAGAAAATGTACTTTAAATAAATTAAATTAAGTAGTAATAAACATTACTAATTAAAGAAGTATATAAATTAAAGAAAATGGATTGAAAAACATAATTCTAAAAGCAATGTTCTATGTACTAAAAATTGTTTTAAATGTAACAAATTGTTACTTGTAGTAGAATAATTTATAACAAATTTGCATGTAGGCACTATCTTGTAAAGATAAATATAGCAATACATTATAAATCAGATTATTATAAAGGAAAATGTACAAATATTTAAACAAATTATAATTGGCAATTATGTAAATCTACTTTTTATCATTTTTATCATTATACATGTATTAAATGTTTGGTGATAATAGGTAAAAGTCAAAACATAAGAACATATATGTTATTACTTGGATAAAACCTATAAAATCTATTTGATAATTTGCGAATATTTTATATAATTATATGACAATAACATTAATTATATGACAAGTTGTAAAAGGAAAACATTCAAGTTTGTAACTAAAATTTCAATATTTCACTGCCACTAATATTGGAAAAAAATTTAAAAAAAAAGTATGTTACAATCATAGAATCTCATTTAAATTATATTATAATCTTTATATATATGTTTCATATAATTTTAATATTATTTAATATTATATAATATAAATATCACTATGCATATACATATCCTTAGTTATATTTTGTTTTCCTTCAAAAAAAAAGTTAATTTCTGTATTATATTTTTTATATGTAAAACTATACATGTATAATTTGATGTATATATATATATATATTATCTTTATATATTTTAAATGTGTAAAATAGAAAAACGATTACCTTTCTAAAATAGAGAAACGATAAAACATTATTATATAAATAAGAACTCATATTAATAATGTAAGAAAAATACAGTTAAAAAAATATCATTTGATTACGCAAATAATAAAACAGAAACGTTTGTCACAAGTCCAATATATTCAAAAAAAATCAGATTTTCCTATTTTTATTTACTTTTATTTCATTAAATATTGAAAATAATAATATGTATAATTATATTTTATTTTTAGATAGAAAAATAATTATTTTACAATATTTTATTAATTTTTTCATCTGTTCTAATTGCTTTAAATTGATTTGCCTGATGTTAAGGTTGTTGAGTGGTGCTGGTTTGTCCACCTGCAAATAAGTACAATAAATAAAATATTGTGCAAAACAATAGAAAACTTTTATTATAAACTAATTAATACTTCCAAAAAGAAGTATTTTAAATTCAAAATATTTAGTGACACAATTATTTAATATAAATTCCAAATTAATGCATTTAAATTGATTAATGTTGAAAAATAATAATTAGATATTTGTGAATAATTGAAATTTAAAACAAGTTTAAAAATAATGTTTGCTATTATACAAATTAGCTTACCACCATTAGTGCTATTATTTCTACCACCAAAATGTGACCATCGACAACCTGCTTTTCCATGATGATGGGAAGCCAAACGGACATTCATTGCGGATACCTATCAATAAAACAAATTTTTACTATACAACATACACAACATGATATTAAAATTGAAATATCTTTTAAAATAAGAATACAAATAACTTAACATTTCTTTAGAATAAATTACAACTTGCATTGATTAATGAATTAAAATATATTTGTATAGTTTTACTCGAGCATTAGTATTTACTGTTTACGTCGTATAATCACACGACTTTAAAGTATATAAAATTAATAATAAAAAAAATTGAAAATATATTATTTGCAATAAAAATTATAAAATTTAAATCGTTATTATAAGTAGTTATTAGTTGTTAATCATTTCATAAATACGTTAGTAAAATTATCATATATCAATGATAATGAAACGCCCTAAGCATGACAGATAAGTTATTTTCAAAACAAAGTAAGAAATGTAGAACATAAAATTGCCTTTATTATTCCTCTATAAAATTATTACAGAAAAATTTGAAAATTAACTATAGCACTTTTGTATGTATTGAAATCTTTCCTTCTTTTCCTTTCTTAGATCTGAAGATACGGTAAAATGAAATTGAAAAAAAATAATAATTACAGAAATGTCAATTCATTAGTACAGTACATATAATAATACTGAATTTTTGACATATAATGATATATCGATAAAATACAAATAATAAAAAGAATAAAAGATAGAATAATAAAATATTTAAGTACAAATAAATTTTGATATATTACTATTATTTGCAGTTTCTTAAGGATTAATATGATCGAAAACTAACATTTAATTTACATCATCAATTTTGATTTTAGGACGATTTTATTATTTTTTCTCGTTTTTCCTCCCGTCTCCCTCTCCTTTTTTTTGGTTCAAATATTACATTAACTATACGTATATGACAATAAATAATAGTATTAATAAATAAATAATGTTCTGTAAATTGTATTTATTACATTTCGATTCTTTTCTACAATTACAATGATTTATAACAGTAAACAAATGCATTTCAACTACTGTAAATATCAGCAAATCAATCTTTTAATCATATGCAAATCACATCTTTATTAATAGTGGACATAATGTATTAATGTTCTTGAATGTTTTTTAAAGTGATTTGGTCATTTATCTATGCACATACCTTAAAGATTATCATAAAATATTTTTTATCGCCATTTCTTCGGTTTGATAATAAAAGAAGTTTACGGAACATGTTAAAAGTAACATCTCTGCTTTGTTAAAATTAAAAAAAATACTATAGATTTCCATTTAAAATAAATGGAGATTGCTTATGAAAAATATACTATAGATAAATAAATGATAAAATTGCTTACCAATGAAAAATTTACTATGATTATCTTATAGAATTGTTTAAAAAATATACAAATTTTTAGATAATCAATGTTTATACCGTAAAGGATCTAATTTTGAGTTTATTGAGTGAAGTATAAGAGAAGATATTTTAAAAATCTTACCGCAATGAAAAGTAATAGAAAAAGAAAGAAATGCACATTAAACGACTTCATCTTAGGATGGTACAATCAAATTGAAAAAAAAACTCTCGTAATCTGAATGTCAGCGTATTTATACTTACATGTAGTACAATTAGAGTACTTATCTTGGATCAGAAAAATACATTTGTACAGTCACATTTCCTGTAATCTTCTATAAAAATTGCGCGTTTTTATCTTTTCTTTTTTTTTAGTCAATAGAATGACTAAAAAATAGGTGTTATTCAGTTATTATAGAATTTAATTGCAGCAAAATTATATAATTCTAATCATCTCAAAATCTGAAAAAAATCACAGTAACATGGTAAAATAGTAAAAACATCTTTTACGGAAACTTCCATTCATGCAAATAAATTTTTTTCTTTTGCTCGATTTATTTTACGATGTATTTTATTCGTATCAATTATAAATAAGGACACGTTTCCATTACCGTTATTAAATTCACATAATTATCATAAATTATGATGAATTAATGCATATGTCATGTCACTTTTCAATATTTTATTTTTGTTTCATACATGAAGCATATATTCCTAATACTCGCCCTATAATTATTTATTATTATGTATTATTATGTATTACACATATAATATTATATAATATATTATGTATAACATATAATACCTTATTAACAAATTCTATACTTGTATTGTGAAAGCAAGCATACAAACTATTCGATAGTTTTAATAATGAAAAAATTTAAAATAAATAAACATTTTTATAAGAAATATATTTACAACTATGTTTTTTAGATTTTATTTAAAAGTTTAGAAATACTTAAACTTGTACTTATCTTCGTGAATAATAAGAGGGTTAATAATAATAAACATTTCTATACGGACATTTTCATTGGATATCAACACTGCATTTAGAATTACAGAGCCATCTTTAAATATTCGTATTGGATTTGTTCGAAAATTCCTGCATCTATTAAAAAGAAAGTGTAAAAAAATTCTATAAGAAAAGAAATAATGTGCATAAAACGTAATATTTTACTTCTATTAACGTCAATTTGTAGTAATATATAAAAGCTATATGAAATTCTTACTCCAATAAGTGAAACTCTAAATAATTTATTCATAAAATAAGATGAGATATATGAATAAAATATATTTTGCGTGCATGTTTTTTTATAAACTAATTTTTATTAAAAATCATAAAATCAATTTCTCGTGTAAAATATATCGATATCATAATATCGAGATATACTGCAACTAAAAGTCGATAATCGATACAGAAACGAAGCTTTAGAATTTCTGGTAAGTTCTATGAAATTGATTACTTTAAACGAACTGCGAGGTCAGTTAGTTTCTGGAATTTACTTGAACGTGTCTTTGCTATTATATAAAGCGATATTTTATAATAAAAGTATCATTTGAAAATTTTAAAGAAGTAAGTATTTTTACATATTTTATATATTTTCATTTCTGTGAGTAAACAAATATATATTTGTATACATATTTATATTTTCTTCCATTTCTATGATGACTACATTAATGTTCATTGTTTTTGTTAAGAATTGTGTAGAGAAATTACATAATTCATATATAAACCTCCTTCTCGTATTGAGTTTCAAAGAAATTTTATTGTATATTATTTTTTTGCTGTTTGCTTTACGATTTTATGTTGATAATCAAATTTATTGCTTTTAGAAAGAATAAATAGAACTAAATAAAAAATGTATTTAATGTTTGTTTTTTTGAATTTAGAATGGCTGTAGACATATCTCCAAATAAAGATCAAGGTGTTCTGAAAGAAATAATTAAAGAAGGTGTGGGAGATGAAACTCCATCACCTGGAAATACTGTAATAGTACATTATACAGGTACTTTATTGGATGGAACAAAGTTTGATTCGAGCAAAGATCGTAACGAACCATTTCAGTTTGAACTTAAAAAAGGAAGTGTAATTAAAGCATGGGATATAGGAGTAGCTACTATGAAAAAAGGTGAGGTTGCAATATTGACATGTGCTCCTAAATATGCATATGGGAAAAACGGTAGCCCACCTAAAATTCCTCCAGATGCAACACTTAAGTTTGAGGTAAATTATTAAGTTAAAATCTTCAATGAATTTAATATCAATATGTTTAAAATAAAACATGCTGATAATATATTTAAAATTTCAATTTAATTTCAGATCGAAATGATTGATTGGAAAGGAGAAGATTTAAGTCCTGAAAAAAATGGAAATATTGAAAGATATCAAATTGTACAAGGAAAAGATTACATTACTCCGCAAGAAGGAGCTTTAGTAAATGGTAAATATAAATTGTATGATATTTTTATTTGTCATTACTTCCATCCTACTTAAAATTTTCTTTCTTTTTTAGTACATTTAGTAGGAATGTATAATGGGAAAATATTTGAAGATAGAGATGTACAATTCTCCCTCGGAGAAGGAGAAGATTGTGGTGTTATAGAAGGTGTAGAAAAAGCATTGGAAAGCTTTAAAAGTGGAGAAAAATCGAGGCTCAAGATTAAAAGCAAATATGCATTTAAAAACGTTGGAAAACCTGAATTTGATATTCCACCGAACGCAACTGTAGAATATATAGTAGAATTAAAGAGCTTTGAAAAAGTAATTATTCCATTAAGATATGCAAAATGATAAATTAATTGTATTATTCTTTAATTAACATATTTTATATATATTTCAGGCTGTCGAATCTTGGTCCTTGAAGAATAATCAACAAGTAGAACAAGCTAAAATCTACAAAGAAAAGGGAACAAATTATTTCAAGGCAAATAAGTATAACTTGGCAATTAAAATGTACAAGAAAATTACCTCATTTTTAGAATATGAAGGTAGCTTTGAAGGGGATCTGAAAACACAAAGAAATGATCTTATGTTATCAGCGCACTTAAATTTGGCATTATGTTACTTAAAAATGGATCAAAATGTTGAAGCAAAGGATTCGTGTAACGAAGCTTTGAAACTAAGTCCACAAAATGAAAAAGCTTTATTCAGAAGAGGACAAGCATATCTTGCACTAGCATCACCTGAAATTGCAATTAAAGATTTTCAGGAAGTTTTAAAAGTAGAACCAAAAAATACAGCAGCTGTGAAACAAATCGGAATTTGCAATAATTTTATTAAAAAACAATTAGCAAAAGAGAAAAAACTATATGCAAATATGTTTGATAAATTTGCCCAAGAGGATAAGCAGGTTTGTGAGAAACAACAATAATCTTATGTAATATGGGCCAGAAGTATTTAATTTTTTTTATGTACACTTATATGTATGAGTTTAATCATTAATAGCATGTCTTATTTATAATATATATTATAATTCCTAATAAAAATAATATGTAAAGCACAATAATGTTTGTTAAATAAAATTAAATCAGGTGCATATTAAAAATAAATTTCTGACATGATACGTTTGACCATAAAGTGTTAGTAATGTCACAGAAGGAAGAGGAAAAGCTGCGGGATCAACCAGATGTGATGTGTGGGGCCTTGGGTGAATGGGGACAGGAAGAGCGACCAGGAGGTAGAGATGCAACCGCCTTTGAAAAGGAGAATCCTAATATACTTATGCTCAATGCTAATGGTACTGACGAATTTCAAAATATGTAAAATATTGACTATTTCTATACCCCATTTCTTACACTGCCCCAGTTTTGACTGCCAACAAAATGAAATTCTGTTAACTATTGGTTTGTAATGCGTTTCAAATAGCACTACTTCAATAGCATCATATAAAAATGCATGTCATATAGTTTATTAATATTCTGTGACATACGATATTGCCTAGTCAAGAAATTTCATATTTTGTATAATTAAATCAGAGCTTTTTTCTCGTTCATTTTTTATAGAAATTTAACATCACAAATATTTAAATCATACAATAAGAATTATCAAATTTAATTCAAATTTCCTTTGTAATGTAATTGATATTTATTCATAAACCTGTATTTAAAATTACAATGTTTACATTTATATCATTACATATTTTCATTCCATATAATTGTAACTACAATATGATAAAATTGAATGATAATATATAATTCTTGAACAAGTTACATTCTTGAACTTCATTTACTTGTAAATAATTTTATAAATTACGATAACATAAGGTAAGTGATGTTTTATATTACTAAAAATTAAAAATTTTAATATATTAGTATATTATTTTTTATAATAAAACTATTTTTCTAAATTAAAAATTAATAGAAAAATGCAAGTTTAGTAGTGAAAATTTGTAAAATTCTTTTTAAATATTAAAATGTATGTTTCGGTCTTTAATAATTATTTAAATGTTACATAGTATATTTTTACAAATAAAAATATGTAAATGATTTTTTATATAAACAAATATTTATGTTCGCTTTTAAAATTTTGAAATAAAGATACATATATACATGTAACTATGTATTAAAGAATTTTTACTAACTCGCTTAGCAACAGTAATGTTGATGCAGCAATAAAGGTTGTGACAAAAAACTGATAGCTTAGATAGTTGAAACGTAAGTATCAAGACTGTAATGATTTTTCTTATTACAATTCCAACAGACAGTAGATAAATGAAATTATATTAAATAAAATATATAAGAATTTAAAACTTGTAGTATGATAAGAAATCATACAATAGAATTAACTAAAAGTAAATTGTAAAAATAAATATCGTAAAATATATTAAATTGTATATTTATATTTTTGGTATTGGCTATTATTATTATTTTTTTTAAATGAATATTGCAATATATCTTGTAATTTCATTGGTAACTGTTATTTCTATATGTTCAAACCAATGATAGGTCTCAATGTACATGTATTACTACCACAAATTCGGCAACTATTAACAGTACACATATTTAGGAGATCAGCGTGAAACTATAGACGCATATAATCATTACCCCTCAATAGGATTGAATTCAAGTCATTTGTTAAGAGTAATTGAGGAATTACTTGTTTTTTAAAATGCCTAATATTATAAATGACATCAAGCTAGATTTTAAAGATGTTTTATTACGTCCAAAAAGGAGTACGTTAAAAAGCAGAGCCGAAGTAAGTACTATTTATGTATATAAATTTTATGAAGCTCGATGTCAAATCTATATTTATTTATTATAATAGAATCTAATCAAGTTCCATATATTTTATTGCAATGTTTTATAATATTGTTATAATGCACATTTTTTATAATACACGGTGTTATATGTCTATAAAGTAACACTGTTCTCATAAAGCTTTTTATCACTTTATTACTACCAAAAACAAATAATAACAAATAGTAAATTTTATTTCATAGCCATAAAAAATTTGGCATATATATTTATGTACTTCATTCTTTTTAAATATTTATTAATGTAATCTGTTGTACAATATTAATGAAGAATATATGTTACAATTTTAGGTCGATTTATTTACAGAAATTACATTTCGTAATTCAAAACAAACTTACAAAGGGGTACCTATAATCGCCTCAAATATGGATACAGTAGGAACATTTGAAATGGCTAAAGCTTTAGCGAAAGTATGTGTCCAATGTTTATTTTTTATTTTACTATAATAGAACTAATATTTCTTTATAATAAAAATTATTATAGTTAATAGCTATATATTGATCTATTAAAATATTTAAAAAAAATTTCTATTATATTAAATATAGCATTTTAACTATGTTGTTCTATTGTAGAGTTTCAAAATGTGAACAAATTTGATATTTTCATATCCCATTTTATTATATTTTTAGTTTGGTCTATTTACTACTGTTCATAAGTATTATTCAGTGCAAGAATGGAAAGATTTTGCTACTGAAAATCCTAAGGATCTGAAATATGTAGCTGCCAGTTCTGGCACAGGAAAGGAAGACTTTGAACGGTTGTCAAATGTCTTAACAGCTGTACCCGAATTATCTTTTATTTGTTTAGATGTAGCTAATGGTTATTCTCAACATTTTGTTGAATATGTTAGGAAAGTGAGAGCTGAATTTCCTAATCACACAATAATTGTGAGTAATGATATTATATCATAATTTAAAAAAAAAAAAAAACAAGAACTTAATTCTTTATTATAAATTCAGATCTTGTATTTAAAAGTAAATATTTATTAATGTTATTGTAGGCAGGAAATGTAGTTACTGGTGAAATGGTAGAAGAATTAATATTATCTGGAGCTGATGTGATAAAAGTTGGAATTGGTCCTGGATCTGTATGCACTACGCGAATGAAGACTGGTGTAGGATATCCACAATTAAGTGCTGTAATTGAATGTGCAGATGCAGCTCATGGCTTAAAAGGACATATTATTTCTGTAAATAATAATATATTATATTTGTATATGTATAATATGATTTTTTTTTATGATACATAATACAAAACTTATTATGATAAATGTATTTTATTTTAGGATGGTGGTTGCACTTGTCCAGGTGATTTAGCGAAAGCTTTTGGTGCTGGAGCAGATTTTGTAATGGCAGGTGGTATGTTTGCTGGACACGACGAATGTGGAGGTGATACAATAGACAGAAATGGCAAAAAATATAAACTGTTTTATGGTATGGCTTCCAACACAGCAATGAAAAAACATGCTGGAATTGCTGAATATAGGTTAGTATATAGAATTATTATTTTGAAAGTAAAATATATTCTTAAGTTTATTTTAATGTTTTTAGATCATCAGAAGGTAAAACGGTGGAAGTGCCTTATAAAGGTCCAGTGGAAACTACTGTATTAGATATATTAGGTGGTTTGCGATCTGCATGCACATATACAGGCGCTGAAAGATTACGTGAACTACCACGTCGTGCTACATTTATACGTTGTACACAACAATTAAATCCAATGTACGGTCCGCCACCAGAAATCTGAAGTCATTTTAATTATCAAATCTATTGTAGTACACATGTAGGAAAAATATTACTGAATCGATTAACAAATGCTATTATTTGCTGGCAAATAATGTTTATGTAAAAATTTAAAAGCTTCAAGTAATGTAAGTGTACATACATTTTGATGACAATTTTAAATTGCACTGAATTTAGTGAGTTCTAAAGAAATAACGCTTAAAAGCACAAACATATATTTTATTTTTATATTTATATTCTTTTTATGAGTGATTCATACTTGACTGTACATAAACATATATATGTCGTTACGCATATTCAATATACAAATAGAATCTGTCAATATTAGACTTAAATATTCCTAAATGTATTTTGTAAAATGATTCTATAAAATTAGAAAAATTGTGTTTGATACACATGCATATATAACTTTTATTAAGTTAATTACATATGTACATATGTATAAAGTAAATTTACGTACAGTGCATGTGTGTAGTACAAATTATTTTAAATATATATAATATATATGCCAAATATAAGATGCTAATAAAAATATTAAAAGCTGGAATTTTGAAATATCGAATTGATTATTTTATGAATAATAAATAATTACATCTCAAATTATGTTTCATTAAAGAATTTTTATTTCTCTTCTTCAAATTAATATAATTTCAAAATATAATATTTTTACAAATCGTCATAAATAGATTTGCTTTCATGTAAAAATTGTTGATGCCAATATTTTATATTAATAAATACCGTACATTCTAAATATCCATTTTTTGAATTTGTTAACACGTATGAAAAATAAGTTCCTGAAACATTTTCATTATTTTTACGTAACGTCATAATTATAAAATTACAATATAATTTTTAAAAAAGCATTAATTAATTAAATAATATTGTATATTAATCTTCTAATAAAATTAAATAATTACTTACTTTGATTATAAATTGTAATATATAAAACATAAATTTAAATATACATTTTTTACACTTATTGCTGTAATATAAAATAAAAATATTCTTCTGAATTTATATTTATAAAATTCCTCATAGTTATTAATCATGTCTAATATAATGTCGGATATTGGAAAACAGAAACATACTCTCACAATTTGAGATTATAAAAAAGTGAATACATGTTACTAAAAATCATACCAAATCACAGCCAGTTTAACTCAACTGCAACAAAAAGGATAAATCAAAATTTGTATTTTCATATTATAAAGTTCTAAAAAATACAATTTTAATAGAATTCATTTTGTAATTATTATTATTGCCTATGTGTAGAGATTATAATTCAATAACATCAATTTTTATAAAATTTTATTTCAATCATATTATTTTCCTATGTTTAAATAGATTTATACATACAGATATTCAACCATAAAAATAAACTATATTTATGTATAGTATTAACAACAGATACAAGTATACAAAACAAATAAAATTCTGACCCTGAAAAATTAAATGTGTTTGACACGTACAAGGAAGATAATATGTTTATATAAAGTGTATAAAAATATATTATGAGTAAAAAAAATAATTTTATTATTTAATATGTATATCAATACACGTATAATAATAGTTGCTATTTATCTTTGAATAAAATTGAATGTTTTCTTTCATCATTGCAAGGGTAAATTACAATATTTTAAAAAAATAACAAATTTTTGTTTGAAATTTTGTCTAATATATATTCAAAACACATGTTCAATTTTTTATGCAATTTATAATTAAAATTAAATAATAAACATACAATTCTATGTTCTTATAATAATTATTTAGTTATGCAATATTAGACTTAATAAGTAAAATATTATATATGAAGAAATAATAAAAATGTAACAAAAAATTGCAAATCATATTTGCAAATATATAATTTCTATTTGAATATAGTACAAATATATAGAAAATATTTGAATATTGTGGATGATAAAAAATTTACAAATTCAATTTTGATAAAACGAATGATTTGAAAATTAATTTTACACGTGACTAGTAAAATCTGTTAACAATTGTCTACTATAAGTAATATATTTTTGTGGATTATTTGATAAAATTAGTAAATAATATATAAGATTCTATAAGTTATATAGTAATTAATGTACGATTTAATATGCCATCCATTAATCTCCAGTTTAGCGGGTCCTGATTCCTTTGAATATAAATACACAGAATGCTGAATGAAAAATGGTAATCCCCTTGGTGAAATTTATCGTAGGACAGGTAAACATTCCTACAATTGGCTGCTCCAAAAATCTAAAATAGTAGTGGTATTTGACAAGAAAAAGCAAAGGAACCAAGGTAAAATTGTATTTAGTATTGTTATAATAGCATATATGTGTATACCATCATACGGGTAGCATATTCTCTTGCATACATAATAGATAAAACAATTCATGAACAATAGAAACGAATTTTAGCTGTCTATACAGTCAGCTTTATACTTATAAAATTTACCTAATTCACTAAAGATAAATGTTTCATGAATGAACCAATGAAACATAAATAATGACATATCGAAATAAGTATCTAGATGTATTTCTTATAAATACATTGGTAAGGATAATTTTTAGTATCTTTAATGATAAATGGGAAGCATAATATGGATATTTTGTTGCAGATTCCTCGTTCCTGTTTCTCACCTGCTGCTTCACCTGCCAGTTTCAATTTATGTTACAATCAGGTGTTATGGAACAAAAATACATACAATAGTATAAATAGAACACAAGTAGACATCATGTTAATATCATATTATAATGTTAAATTTCTGGCATTTCGTGTTACTTAAAATTAAAACCATGAGTATCCTACAATATGTATATATCTATGTATATAAAAAACACAACATATTATAGTATAAATAGAACATAATTGGTTCTAGTGGCATTTTTTAAAGTTTATGGATTTTGCGAAGCGATCAACTATCGTAATTTATTGTAAACAGTATATGAAGTTACAGCAGGCATTAACCGCATCCCGATGGGAAACTATCTGAAAACTATCTGAAATAAACAAACAATTATAATAAAACACATGAAATATATAAAAATGTAAATATACTTTCAAAGGTGTAAAATATATCATATTAACATTTAAATAAAACATTAAAGTATTTGTTATTTTTATAAACATTTAACTCCCTGAAAGTATCAACAGTTATCGGTGTGGGTATGATATTTCCTTCTTCTTACACCATTGATTTTTATAATAAACAATGAATATCAAGCCAATATAAATGTAAGTGATTGAACATAATAATATATGATATATGCAAACAATTATATTAATATTGAATTATTTTGTGTATATTATAATATATCAGAAAACATATCCTGAGTAGAAATGGGTATATTTTGATTAATTGTAATTCGTTTTACACTGAAACATTTATACATATATAAAAACAATATAATGTACAATATTCATGAAATGTGAACTATTATGCTTATTCTCTTGTATAGAAAATATGTATAAATTACCAAACACAAATCTTTTTATAAATACTTCTTATTTGTAAGAATTAATTAAAAAATTAATCAAATTAGAATTTATCCTATAAAAAATTTATATTTGAATTTCATGAATATTTTTCTAGATTCAGGAATAATTTAGACGTTTCATATATTTCGTGTTTCAAATATTCAAATATAAAACTACATGTTTTTATTGCACTCAATTTTTACATTGACTTAATATAAATGAATATTTAGAAAAATTGTATAATATAAAAAAAAAAAGAAAACAAAAAAGAAATTGAAACAATCATTAGTTTCTCAGAACTTTTTTCATAATAAAACATTTAAAAGATAACTTAAAATTAAAAATAGATGTAAATGTCAAGAGATCTTGATATACCAATAGCATAACATTTTCATCTTATACAATTTTCTAATAATTCATGCATATTTATTTACGATATGTAAATAATAATTACTTACAGCTAATATCTTTCCCAATGGAAGTTTAACTTTCCGTATTTGTTTGTGAATAAGGATAATTCTGATAGCCTGTTGGGAAAGACGGATTTTGTTGACCGGTTTGTGATTGTGTAGTAGCTCCAGCTCCCGCTGCATAATATCCCGTTGGAGTTGAATTGGCATTTATTGTTGGATAACTACCATAAGCTTGTGGAAATGCATTAGGAGTCCCACTCGCTGGACCAGATTGTCCTTGCATACTTTGTTGCATTTGTTGTTGAGCCATTTGATTGTTTTGCATTCCCAACTAATAAAAATATAAAATTTTTTATACTTTATTATAATCTATTTTGCCTTGATTTTCATATTTGTAATGATTAACATACCTTTCCTGCTTTCATTTGAGCTTCTATAGCCTCTGCTTCTTTTATTTTACCAATACTTCTATAATACTCTGCCCATTGTGCACTATAATCAGCTTGACCTCCATTCTGTGTAGCTCCAGTTTGTTGCTGCTGCTGTTGTTGTTGTGTTTGTTGCTGCTGTTGTTGTGCTGGTCCAGCAGAATTAGTTGTCGATGCATTAGTTTGGTTTTGTGTATTTCCTAAAATATAAAATATTTTTAATTTACAATTAGATAATCTTTCACGCAACTTTTACTTTTGCACAATATTTTACCTGATTGTTGATTATGATCTTGTTTTCCTTGTTTTGCTTGTTGTTCGATCATATCTGCTTCCCTGTGCATACCTAACGATCGATAATATTCTGCCCATTGTGCACTATAATCTGGTTGTCCTGTTTGTGGATTTACTTGAACAGGCGCTTGACTCCCTGCATCTTAAGCAACACATATTGTATATATTATGTATAAACGACATAAATTATATATTTATGTTCTTTTATAATATAAATGTAAACATACTTGTATCAGTAGTTTGAGGTTGACTTGGCCAGGCTTGATAAGCAGTTCCAGTATTCCAAGTTGGATTATATCCAATTGCTCCTTGTGTACCAGTAAATGACGTATTAGCTGGAGCCTTTGATTTAATTTATATCAATTAGTTAATACGTAAATTAATAATCCTTTTCTTCCATACACTTAAGGATTATGTTATCAAATAATTACCATGCCTAATTTTTCACTAAATATTCTTTTTGCATGCTCTACTTGTTCAGGATTTCCACGAATTATGAAAATTTTCTCATTTTCATTACTTTGATTTCTTCTATCTAGTTCACAATGAGCTCCAGTCTGCTGATTTATTTGTTTAATAGTTTCACCACCTAAAATAATTAAAATAAATGATGTGTTTTTAACATATCGTTTTTAGACTTATAAATAAATATAATTTTACCTTTTCCAATAATAATACCACATTTTGAAGATGGAACAGTAAACGTTGTTTCTATTTTATCTTGCATAGGTCCTCCTTGACGCCTATCCCATCCACCATATTCATTTGGATTACGATTATTGCCAAATCCGTTGCCTCGTGAACCACTTCTTGCTCCTATATTACTTCTACCATCATCTCTTCTCTAAAATATAAACATGAAAATTGAGATGAATATAATATTCTTATTGAATGTAATATTAATAAAGA